TCCACGCCTTCTTTGGCGTAGGGAGGAGATGCCTGATCCCCTTCATTGACCAGAGTGCCATTTGAGTCCTTGCCATCCGCCGCGTGGTTGCCGTTTTCTTTGTCCGCAGATGGTGTAGCATTTCTGCTGTTACCATCTTTGTGGCCCGTTTTGCGCTTAGACTTGCGAGGATTCTTTGGTAAAGAGCTTGTAATTGATGAGCTGGTTGCCGACATGAAACTACTGTTAGCCGCTTTCAGAAAAGACGTTGGTAAGACCCGTAGGATTCTTTGAGCCGTTGGAAGCGTGTGTGATGGCGGCATTAGCGATGACGACCCAAAAACATTCATTTGAGAAGGCGGGATCCATGGCGCAAGCAGGTGGATTTTCCCTCGAATATGCTGAGGCATGCGAAGAGCCGTGGCTAGAGCATAGATAGCTCCAGCAGAATGAGCCATCAGAGAGAATTTGCTGATTCTCAAAGTTTGACAGATTGCGTACACGTCATCTGTAGCACGTCTTGTTAGCAGACATTTACATATGAAAGTTGCACAATTGCAAATAGAGCCATAGCAACTTACCAGGCCAGCTGAGAGGTGTACTCGTTCCATCAGCATAAGGCTCACTGTCTCCCACGCCAGGTCGATCAGGGGTAATAAGACGAAGCTTCAGCGTCAACGCCAACTCGTCATAAAATGCAGTGATATATCTCGTCAAGCCCATTCCTACACAGCAGAAAACTGCGTAGCCCTCTGGGTCTCCAACTTCCGAAAACGAAATCACTCGGCCAGTTTCGGGATGGCGAATCTTTTGGGACAACCGGGGCGAGCAAAGGTAAGATTCCACAGCATCATCGACAGAATCAGCAGATTGGGGTCTCTCATACCCCGTGGGCTTAGTATTCGGAGTCGATTCGTCGTTTGCGCGTTTATTGTCTTGAGGAATAAGAGGAACTGAGAGGCGCTTTAATCTGGAGCTACTGCGCTTCAAACGGAGAGTATCGCTGGGTCCAGGTGTTGTCTGGCTAGAAAGGCGTTGGTCTCTGCGATCAAACTCATCTCGCCGACGCCCCTGTGAGACTGATGGGAAGGGAGCGCCTTCATCTTCGAGCTCGTCTGTTCTCTCCTCCGCAATGTAATTCGCGCTCAAGTAGCTACTCGACGCCCGCTGCTTTAGTTTTCGTGTCGAGTTCTCTTCAACGTCATATAAAGAAGACTTAGTGGTCGACTTATTGGTATCTGAGTCCGAGCGGCGATGCCTCATTTTCGCAAAATCACGACCGTAACCGGACTCTGTAGTTTCGAGCACTTTGTCCCCAGCAAATCCTTCGCTATCTTTCATTGGTCGTCGAACACTGGATCGCCTCCTACTTGAACTCGAATTGCGTAGACTTGAATCACGAGCCGGAATATGGTGTAGGCCGTCTCCAAGCAGGTTATCATCGGCAGTAACTGCCGTTGGTTCCTCGCGGATGGGGCTCTCCCCAAAGAAATGCTCTGCCTTGCTTCCGCTGTGAATGCTGCTTCCTACGGTCGCGCTGCCGCCAGCTATTGGAGTAGAAGAGGCACGTCTTCTATCAACCTGAGGCTCGCGAAGGTGCTCTCTAGAGCCCATATAGCTAAGCACTCTGCTATTGCGATTCGACTTTTTACCCCAGCTGTCGAGAGACCGGCGTGGCCTCAGCTCCGGGTGAGGCGCAGAGCCACGTTCTACAGAAAGATTGCCGATGCTGCGAGCATCATCATTCTTGGATGCAAACGAGCCCGTGGACGACGGGCGAGAGCTTGCGGCGCTACGTATAAAGGATCTGAATCCACTCTCTCGACTTGTACTTCGGTGGCTTCGAGGGCTTTGCGGCGCGGTCAGAGGCGAAAAGCCGCTCGGAGGCTTGGCTGTGCGAATAACGGGCGGGCTGGCCGCAAGCTCGTCGAGAGAAACAGGGCCGCCGTGCTCGTGGTAAAGTGCAGGCTGTTTGTACGCCCCGTAGTCAACGCCGAAACTACCAGAGCCGCGCCTAGAGCGAGAACTCCGGCGACTTTGGCCAGAGTTTGGGCTCGTTGGTAGAGAGAGAGTCGCTGAAGTCAGGCCGGTGTCGAAGTGGTGGTTGGCAGGCTCAGCGATGGCGCTAAGGCTGGTGATGAGACTGGAGATGATCTCAGGGCTCCCAGGCGGAATGGCGTATCGTTTGCGGGCGGCAGAAGTGGGCGTCGACGACATGCGGTTGCGCTGAGACGAGTGAACACGGTGGGTGCGTGTTGGGATAGGGGGCATCGAATCTATGGAAGTACGTTCCATGGTGGGCGGCAGCGGCGAGCCGCAGGGCGACTTGTCCAACGCTGGGACTCGATAGCTTGAGACGGTGAGTGTCTAATGTCGACTGTCTCGCCTGGCTGCAGCGTGAAATTGGCGCACGCAGCCACGTTTGTCTGGCCCCGGCGGCAGCAAACAACGTTCTGTGAGGAGCTTTTGCTTTTGCATGAAACGCTCCCCACGCTCACGCAGCCGGAGTTTCGGTAGGTTGTGGCCCGACCAATGCGCGCGAGCCCCTTCAAAGACCGGTACCAACAACTAGGTGGAATAAGAAGAAGACGAAAAGAAAGGAAAGTTATGGATATTGAGCGCTGAAGCGTGCAATAGTGTGAGCTCGGATGCAGCCAAAGACTCAAGAGGCGTACGCGGACAACTCGTTGGAGCATGGACCGTTCTCTAGTCACTGAGACAGAAGAGGTAGGGAAATTAGTTGGAGGCTAGCACAGGGTCAAGAGTTAGCTGTGTCGCTTGTCCAAGCAATTTCAATCCGAGCTTGAGTCGAGTTGTAACGAACGCACTACTGCAGTATTTGCGAGCGTGCTCTGGTTCGAGAGACACACAGCACAAAGCCAAGCTGGGCCAGCAGCAGAGCAGCAGCAACAGCGACAACTGTAGCGATCACGACGGCAGCAAAAACGTCCAACGGCAGACACTTCTCGAGCGCCAGTAGCTCCTGGTGCTCGCGAGCTCTTGGGAGATTTGACCCCTATCGACAGCTCTGGTGACGGTCCACTCCAATCGCCAGTCTCGCCTAGGCGCCATTTTGGCTGCGGCACGGGCAATCAACGAGACCCCTGCCGCTAGAGAAGACCATCGATCGAGCATGATTCGGCCACGAGCGCAAACCGCGGACTGGAGGCGGTGGGGAGAGCTCTGATTCGACGGCTTCAAGCGGTGGCAGGGATGTGCAAATTGTTCTGTAGACTGGTGGAGAGCAGAAAAAAGGCGGGTCCATCCTTTCGGCGACACATTGATCCTGTTCCGAGATCCGGATGTTCGTATCCATTCCCAGGAATCGAGCGTCAAGATGAGAGAGACAGGACCACACGCTTAAGTAGCATTGGGTGAGCAAATTGCTTGCTGTCGTGCATTGTCCAGTCCCAGATAGGGCGCTGACAACTCGGTTGCGGAAAGCCGAAGAAGGATGTCGGAATCGCATTCAACGGCGTAGCATCCGCGATGCACTGTCAGATGGAATCCCTGCAAGCGAGATGTGCAATCACACAGAGCAGAGCCAGCAGCAGAGTGAAACACTGAAGCCTGCGCGCATTAGAGCAGTATATCAACGACATTGCTCTATAAGCAAAGTTGCAGAGGATCTGCTTGCCACTCGCGGGCGGTGCGTCTTCACCCGCTTCCCCGTGACGATCTTTGCTGGATTGCCCTCGCTTCGCTGGACCGGCACTGTGTGCCACCGTGGGATGCGTGGGATGCGTGATGATGGTGGTACTAGGTATGCCGTCACGATGCTCTACTGGACCTAGTGCTGGGCAGAAGCAGGCAGCGTTGGGTAATACGCGTGGGTGCTTACATGCGTGCCGTGATATTTGTACGTCAGCGAGACCCCCCATGGCGATAGGAGCTGGACATCCGCGCTCAGTGCCGATCTGGCCATTGTGAGCTGACCACTGGTGAGACACGAGTCGACTCTCGCAATCGCGATGGTTACTCATGTGTATTATAAGCTTCTTTTCCGCGTGCAACGGCCAAGGCCTGGCGCTGTCAGATTAGCCACAATCCCTGCAGCCATTCCTGGAAGGCGGGGAATTCAGAAGAAGCGCGAAGAAGAGATAATGGATCTTGAGCAGCGGGAAAAACGAATGACAGGGCGCCTGAGATGAGATGATCTGGTTAGTCGCGTGGCCAGCGCATCCTGGAGGATTCTGTTGTCTCGGGAGAATTTGAAGTCAGAAGTTAGAACACAGACAGGGCAGCACTAGCTGGTGATTCATTCTGTGCCAATGGAATAGCATTCCTAGCTCTTATCGGAGCAGCCCTAGGAGGCGACATAGGGGGCAAGGGAAAGTACGTTGAGGACCTGCAACAATAAGGTAGGCATTCCATACAGACTTACTGTACAATAGTTGATACTTCTTACCTCTCAGGCTGTTACCCACCTTGGTAGTGCTAGTTGTTAAAAGTCCTGTCAGGCTCACCGGAAATCAGGTTTCTCATCTGAAGTACTTGTAGATAGGGCTGATCGGTGGGTGGTAAGCCTGTCTATTCCTATCCAGATAGGACTCCCTTGTCAACTCTGCAAGGCATGTGTTGCAATTTGGCAGAATTCCGGCTACAATTGCGAGCGATTATCTTGAATCCTGTCGAAAAATAGGCTGCTCTTTATATATCGTATATACTGTAAGCCACCAGACAAAGGGTCCAAGTGGCTGGCGCTAACGGCATGCCTGCATATGCATATCCGCCGTCAGCTTGGATGCAACTCTGACAAGGCATCTACTGCCCCGAAGCAGCATAGCGCCGTGGTTGCGAGATGCAGGGCTGGATTTGATATATGAGGCGAGCTGCTGAACTCTGCCTGAACTTTCTGTTGTGTCGTACGAATTTGGGTCGTAGATAAAAGTTCTACTCGCGCCACCTCAGCAAGACGGGCGCCCGAAACGGAACCGTGCCATTCTCACAGGTGACCCTTACACACTGCCAACTCTTTAATCCCAGAGCCAACTGCAACTGCAGGTAACATCGATCGAACAATGGCGGCCGCGGCCACTAAGACGATCTTCTCCTTTGTAAGCTATGACAACCATAGGGTACCCCAGGACCCAAAGTCTCGCACCTTAATCCGTCGGCATGCTATGCGGGATGTGGCCACGACGAGGAAGCAGAAGCGAAACTATCGCGGCAACGCGGTCCAGTATCCAGAGTCGGTGCTGTATGGCCAGGACTCGCACGATGCGTGTGCTGGCCATGCGCCCGCTGGTAAAGAAGCTGTAGCGAAGAGGCGAGCAACCAAGCGTAAGCTATTGAAAAAGGCGACAGACAGCAGCCCGCAGCCGACCAAGCAACAGCTCATACGAATCCACACAATCGTTGTCGATGACTACAGCCAAAAGTTCAGCACGAGGTTCCCCATCTTGGAGCTCATTGCACCACTCACAGGCCTGCATCTGGGGATGGCCTACATCTCCTGCTTTACCTTGGAGCCCGGTAGGACTGGAGACGGACTATTCTCATTGCCGTTGTCTCAAATGCAGAGCAGAAGGCTGTTGGACTATTTGCCGAGCCTGTATGGAAAAGCTACCGCCTTGACTTATACTGTTGATTGTCTTGTAGCAAGGCTAGGTCAAATCACCCGCGGCTTGGCTAGCAATACTTCAACGGAAGAGATAGATGGCGATGTTCTCCATCACTATGCCAAGGCCCTCAAAGAAATTCAGAGGGCAATCGATGATGAGGAGCTCCGAATGGCCCAGGAGACGCTGTATGCGGCAGAACTGCTTGGGATTTTTGAGGTATGTCATGAATGAGATCTAATGCAACATGCGTTAGATAAAAAGCTCTATTGATACCGCCCAGCACTTTGACTGACCTTTTGATTTTTCCTCAATCGTGCAGCTTCTGAGCCCCAATCCACAGATGGCGTCCTGGAAGTGCCACGCAGCAGGAGCCGCCAGGCTAATTCAGCTTCGTGGCCCTGAGAGATTCAAGTCCGACTTTGAGCTGGCCCTTTTTATGGCCCACATCGGCCCAATAGTACGTATACCTAGGCGAGAGACATACCTAGGTAGTCCCGCATTGAGAGCTCATAGCTGACCCTTCACTCAAGGTCACTGAATCTTTCCTCAATAACAAGGAGTGCTTCCTGACCGAGGGGCCCTGGAAGAAAGTCTTGCGCGCCGCCATCTGCCATGACCCGACCATACCGGCGGAGCAGAGCAAGCTCATCTATAAGCTTTGGTCTGCCCTCATCTTTGGACCCAACATATTCAAAAAAGTCACCGGCTTGATCCTGTCGCCCACGCCGCCTGCAGAAAGTGAGATTGAGGCGGCAGTCGAGAAGCTGCAGAAGGACCTGACTTACCTGAGAATGTGGGAAGACTTGTTGCGGCAGCAGCAGCAAGGGCAAACCCCTCCAAGTGAAGACGACATGGACCCAAGCAATAACATGAAGTTCATCTTCGCAGCTCCTGGCTGCAACAAAGGAGTGAATTCCATGCCGTGGCCAGTCCTCCGCGGCACCTTCATGACGTGCGGTATGCTGAAGAGGCGACTCTTGGTGTCGCTTGTGCCCTCTCGCTTCCCTCACGTCGAGGCAGAGGCTCAGGCGCTGGCTGAAACAGCGCTGGAGCGTAGCAGAAACCCAGCTGCGCGCAAAGAGGATGGCCTTCTGGGCGGCCTTTTCCTGGCGCAAACTGTCTGGGTGGCGCAAGCTGTCATCTCCACCAAGAACATCTGGTATGGAACCACAGCCGATGCAAGCACGCTGGTGCCAGATGAAAATGCCATGGGGCCGATGATTGAGCAGTGGAAGTTTAGGATCTGGTGCAAGGAGCTCGGAAGGAGCGTCACGTAAGCGTTATTGTGGTTTGATGCATACAGGAATTACATGAGGTAGATCTCACGATGCCGATGCCGGCAAGTTTTACGGTGTTATGGGGGGTTTCTTTTTTTTTTTTTTTTTTTTTTTTTCACACCACTCACATGCCTTTTGATTTTACTAGAACAAGAGGCGTTGGAGTTGCGGGAGTTATTGTGCGTTCTGTTCGATTTAAGAATAAAATTCGAATCACCTAAAAATACCTATGTTCCTAAGGTCCGTGAATACATGCAAATACCACCAGGCATCGTATCATGATCGTAGCTAGACCTGGCTTTCACTTTTTCTTCATTCTTCTGTGTCCTTATTCGTGTTCCTTTTCTTAATGTCTTTATTAATATTTAATGTTTCGCGAGGTCTTCTTCAAGACACTGCTGCAAGCTTGGATCAACACGCCCAAAGTACTCTGCACGGATGTCAGCTTTCCATCTCTTACCCACATATCGCTCCCGCATAGGGTATGACTTACTAAGAACCTCCTTCCTTAGGGCGACAGGGATGTCCTGCAACGTCGGAATGATATTATAGAGGAAATGTTCCTGGCCTTTTTCCTCCTTGCAAATGATCTTCCAAAGATGACGAGCTTGCACGAAATCATTGTCAGAAAGTTTCGTAGCAAAGGACGACACTTTTCCATCCCAGTGCTCTTGAAGTGGTATCTGGACCCGTTTGCTCTGAGAAACTGGGCGAAGCTCCGAGAAGACGTAGTCGGGATCGCTACCGTAATTTCCATTCATAGTTCCAGGGCCGTCTCGCACATAGGGTGCGTAGACGGTATTAGTTGGCCTGTTTGGTGGCAGCTGGAAATAATTTGGTCCAACGCGATAGCGGTGGGCGTCAGGATAGCTGAACATTCTCGCTTGCAGAACTGCACGTCATATCTATCAGCAACAGCATTCTCTATTGAGAGTACAAATGGGTTTACAAACCAGGATCTGCCGAGGGCCCAATGCCCGGAACCATGTTAGAGGGTGAGAAGCAAGCTTGCTCGATGTCTTGGAAGTAGTTGCCCGGCTAAATTCAAAAGCTTAGTATGAATCATCTCTTTCGAAATATGAGTGACCAACTCACATTCTTATTCAGGGTCAAGCGGCCAATGCGACGCAGAGGATATTTATCGTAAGGCCAGGTAAACGTGCAGTCAAAAATGTCAATGGGTGCCGATTTGACCTCTTCAGGCTTCATGACTTGGACGCAAACAGACCACTTTGGATAGTTTCCGTCCTCGATAGATTTGAACAGATCTTTGACATGATAGTCTGGGTCTGATCCGGCGAGGCGGACAGCCGTGTTTGAGTCCATGGTCTTGACGCCATCCTCTGGCTTGAAATGCCACTTGACGTAGACATAGGTTCCATCCTAGAAATTGTTAGCGTTTGCTATACAGTAGATAGCTTGCTTGGAGAAGTTATCTTACAGCCTTACTCAGGGTATAACTGTGAACGCTATAGCCATTGATATTTCTGAGGGAGGCTGGAATACCACGCGATCCAAACAGGTGCATCAGAGCGTGAATACCCTCCGGGTTATTCTTGTGGAAATCCCAGAACATGGTGTTATCTGGCACATTAGTCTGAGGGTGCCTCTTGTGGCTTCGGTTCATGGATGGAAATTTGATGGGGTCCCGGATAAAGAAGACTGGAAGATCGTTAAAGACAAAGTCCTGGATACCCTCTTCCGTATAGAACTTGAGTGCCCAGCCTCGGACATCGCGAACTGTGTCGGCAGATCCTTTTTCTCCACCGACAGTCGACATACGGGTCAAAACCTTGGTCTTCTTTCCAATGCCAGTGAGGAAATCCGCATCAGTTATGTCAGAGACATCTTCAAGCACCTCAAACTCGCCAAAGGCGCCGGCTGCCTTTGCGTGCACGCTCCTGTAATGCGAAGTTAGTTGAGTATTCAAAGTCCAATAACCACACAACAACATAGTATGGAGCCTTATCCTTACCTTTCAGGAATACGTTCGCGGGCAAAATGAGCCAGGACTTCAATGGTTTGGGTATCACTCAAGACAACCAAACCACCGTTGCCGTTGCCATATCGAATTTGCTGCACAGAGCCTGGATCAGCGCTTGGCTGGCCTAGAGACTATTAGTCAATTGATGCATTGAATGGGTTGGTTTGAAAACGAAATCGATGATGATATTCTATAACTGGAGCAGAATCTTGAACGGAAGCTTACCATTGGCCATAGTGCTAGTAGGGTGGTCCGAAGAAGAAGAAAACGACTAGAAATTGTGAGTCTTAGTTCTTCATAGAATAGACATATAGTAACTCACCATGTTTACTGAGTATTGCTGAAGCAATAGTATTTCTCAGGCGATAGTATTTTCGTTCATACAAAGAGGATGCGATAGCTTATTTTTGCCAGATCCTGATTTTTTTTCTCCAATTCTTCCTCCCTCTAGTACTCGTCAGATGGCCGGTTTTTGTAACATGCGCGCCCATCTCGTAAACCGTTCATTCCCCGCTTACGATTTCATCATGGAATGTTGAAATGTCCGCCGATGGCTGAGATTCCCGTCATCCCGCTTTCGCGTATGAGGGATTGGCGATAAAGCCCGGGCTAAGGCAGAGTTCTACTAGTTCATGAGCTTGCATGCAATGAGAAGGTTCTGCATGGCGTTTACACCAATCCGGCTCAGCTATCATATGAAGCTCCTCAAGCCACCTCATGCGGGGACAAAGTATATCTTGAACTGTGGCAGTCCTGATTGGTTCGATAGCGTCACTTCATTCATGATGACGCAGATTCTTGTATCGGTTAATTGCCGTGCATATCTTCCCAGCCCGATTGAGGACGAGACAATGAGAGGTTCGCAATCTGTTCGGACTTTACTGCGGGGAATCGGGTAGCTATAAGTTTGAGTGCGCTGCGATCTGCCCGCCCAAGCGAGAAGTAAATCTCTCTTCATCGCTTAATATAATCTTTTAATCAGTGAACGCCAGAATAATTGAATCAAGATGCCGCCTTTCAAGACAATGATACCGACAAATAGTCGGCCTAATGAATGGAAGATTGAACAAGGACTGGCCGGAGCCGAGCTCCCGGTCATTGATATGACCGAGCCAGAGAATAAGTCTCTCATTTTTCAGGTTTTCCCAGAGAAATTGACCAAGGATGAGGAAGCTATCAAGGCCGTGGGGGACCCTGAGAAGCTCTTTGCTCGGGAGCGAGATGGCTGGATCGGGTAAGTCATTGTCTAAGACTTGATGCATTGACGTGAACAACACGATCTGTTGCTCCTATGCTGACATGATATGCGCAAGCTTTGTCGAATGGGAGAATCATCCCGACAAAAAGGCAGCGGCGCACAAGATCCTGACGTCGCAGACATTTCCACCAAACCCTGAATTCCAGCTTGGCGATATTCCGGCAACTAATCCTGTCCTTCCCGGCACTCGCTGGAAGATGTGGCACCATGCTGTCGGCGGTGAACTCAGCAGAGTTCCTGATGACTCTTGGAACTGTGTCCTCAAAGAGAAGCACAAGGATATGCTTCATCTCTTGCAGTTTCCATACAACGGGGAGCCCCCCAAGCGTCTGGTCACTGACAAGGAGATCACTCCCAACAACCTTCATTTTGTGAGAAACCATGGAGGCATCCCGATCATCGACAAGGATAAGTACAGCTTCATGATGGACGGTCTTGTAGCCAAGCCACGTGAGTACACCTTGGATGATCTCATGGATGAGTCTCGGTTCCCACGCATCAAAAAGAAAATTACTATTCAGTGCTCTGGAACCCGCCGTATTGAACAGATTCTGAAGTATCCCGGTCAAGGTGATGAGATTCCTCAAGCTCCCTGGGCCGAGGGTGCGATTGGTACAGCTGAATATACCGGCATCAGTCTCAAGAAGGTAATCAAAGAGTGCGGCGGCTTGATCGAAGGTGCCAAGCACCTGGAATTCTATGGTTGCGAGACCTACTTCAAGGATGACAAGTGCATGAACTATCTTGTCAGTGTGCCTTGGTCAAAGGTCAAGGCAAATGAAGTGATGCTCGCCTGGGAAATGAATGGCGAGCCTCTGCCTCGCATTCACGGATATCCTCTCCGCATCGTCGTCTTTGGCTACATTGGAGCTCGAAGCGTCAAGTGGCTCTACCGCGTCAAGGCCATCAAGCTTCCGTCTCGAGCACCGGTCCAAAGCGCAGAGTATCTCTACTTCCCGCAGCAGGTCGGAAAGCACAACCTGCAAATGACTGACGGCATTCAAATTCAAGAGATGCCAGTCAGCTCCGCCATCATGTTCCCATGGGCGAAGCAAGTCGTCATCCACAACGGCAAGATCCGCTGCAAGGGCTGGGCTTATTCTGGAGGCGGCCGATGGCCAGAGCGTGTCGAGTTGTCAGCCGATGGCGGCTTCAACTGGTACACCATTCCTCTCGAGAACCTATCCAAGAAGCGGAAGTGGACCTGGCGCACATGGAGCTATGACCTTCCGTGCGACGTTGAGGGCTGGGTTGAGATTGTGGTCCGCTGCTGGGATAACTCTCTGAACACGCAGCCTCCCGAGATTCGCACAGCCTGGAACTGGGGCTTGCATGTTACGAGCTCTTGCCACCGGATCTCGGTGTACAGCGTCAACAGGAGCCGACCCAAGACTGACGCTCGTCTTAAAGAGTTTGAGGAAGCGGGTATTCCATTTGCCCCTATTACTGTGCCACTCACCTTTCCCTCGCAGACTTGGGATGGTTATGAGAAGTTCTGGCAGGAGAATGACCCTCGCGATGCTGAAGATGACTGATTGTGTTGTTGATAAAGGTGCTACCAGAAAAGTGTTGCCGAAAAAGGTTCTGTCCAATGAGGTGCTCATCGTTCTCTCTCTCTCTCTCTTTCTCTACAGCTACAGTGATTGAACAAAGAAAAGTGAAGAAAAAGAGGGAAAAAATAACCAAAAAACTAAAAGACACCATTTAGGTACATGTAGTAAAACACCCTCGTTTCTTCAAAGGAGCTGTCCTTTCCAGATATGCTAGTCATAAGTCATGAATGAATGAATAAACCAGATAGCAAGAACCTTCAAAACTACTCACTGTGATGTAACATCAGGTCACATTATGTTTGTGCCATTTGAGTACAGTAGGTGGTTCATCGCCACCGGTATCAGTGTTTGGCTCTTCGGAGCCAGCTGTAGCGCTCCTAGCAGCATGAAGATAGCTGGAAACATGAATCTGTGCTCCGTGAATTGACAATACGAAGGAAGTCCTAGCAGGATTTTCCTCTCGCATTTTCCACCGGGCTTATTAATCACTCGCGCCCACGCCGATTTTAGCCTGCTACATCTCCCATGTGCTCTTGAACTACACTAACGGCATGACCATGTTTGCTGAATAGCTCCCGAAAGACCTTTATCATTTATACAGTATGTTTATTTTTGGAACATAACGAAAACTTAATGTCTTTCTCGCAACCTAGCTAGAGACAACATGCATGACGAAGAGCGGCAACATGAAGCTATTCCAACCGAGCGTCGCTTTTCGCTCGATGAGTTTTCGACTCCATCGACAAGCTGGCAACTTGATAACTTTGTTTTTGAGCCGGGATATGTCGAATCTCGAGAAGAGTTGCGCTATTTGATGCTGAGCACCGCACAGACTGCCCCGCCATCTCCAACTCACGAAAGCAGCCTGACACTGAGACAGGATTCGCATGAAAGCGAGTATCAGTCATCAGAACGCCATCAGGCTTCACATCTCCTTTCACAGGGACGGAGGATTGAATATCTAAAGAATTACATAAGCGAGGTTGCACCATGGGTATGTCCTCTTGTGGCTTCTTCAGATGTAAATGTACTCATCGATGAGTAGCTTGATATGTTTGACAGCTCACATGCCTTTGGCCTACAATTACCTCTCCTGGCACAGACGTCCCCAGCTCTCTTATGTGCAGTTCTGGCCATATCCGCGCGACAAATAGAGCGTAAAGAGGCATCCGACGGAAACCCGACTCCGCAGAATAGCTTTGACAGTTTAGAGCTGTACCAAGAAGCGATTCGACTTCTGACGCCACTTCTACAAGCTCATGATCAAGCAGTGATTCCGATCTGCGTGATACTATGCTGCCTTGAAATGATGTCCGCCAGTGCGCGCGATTGGCGCCGGCATCTAGAAGGATGTGCTGCTCTCTTTGACGCTTTCCAAGTCCACGGATTCTGTGGCGGACTACTACAATCCGTCTTCTGGTGTCACGCCAGGATGGGTGCGTTTACAATGATGTTACTCGCTATTCCAATACCTAAATTGAGCATTTGAACTGACCAAGGCTGTGAAATAGACTTATGCGGTGCCTTGATATCTGATGGGACGCAAAGTACCATAATTACACCAGCCGCTTGGCTGCCTCCTGGTACCGACAACTTGACTACCCGCCAATTGTTTGAAAGCGTGAAAAGCCCCGATATGCACGCCAACTACGCTGTTTATCTTTGCGCTAAAGCCTGCGAGTTGATTTCGGATCGTACACAGCATGACGAACTCGGTGTCCCCAATGGCTGTACTACAGAATCGTTTTCATCTCGCTGGAATGACCTGTGGGATGATCTACAAGCTTGGATAGATTATCGTCCTGGTGAGCTGTTGCCAATGTCCACTATTGAATCTCGTCCCTTTCCACAGATACTCTATCTCCACTGGGCCGCAATTTCCTCCAACCAGCTATACCACACTGCTTGCATTTTGATGCTATCTTCAACGCCGAGACGACAGGACGCCATACCTGGTGTAATTGGATCATGTATCTGGCATGCAAAACGAATTTGCGGCATTTCGTTGACCAATCCTCACCAGGGATGTCTCAACAACGCCATCCAGCCGCTTTGGTTAGCAGGGAGGCTACTCAGCCACGAATCAGAGCATACAATCGTGGTGAATCTTATCCGCGATATTGAGTCGACTACGGGATGGGGAACTTCTTGGAGAATTCCTGATCTTGAAGCAGCGTGGGGGTATTCTATTCCAAACGTTCTTACGCCAGGCACACCGACCTCAGCTCGCCACAAAGTGCTCAATCTGGGTAATAGCATGCAAGAAGCAATCAAAAGATGACCTCGCTCAACATACCGCTAGTGGCTCTGAAGCGTTCCACTCTTGCTTTAGCTGATCAACGAAGCCTTTAACAGGCCAGCCTAGAGTGCCAATGTGCCCAAATCCATGCAGTACTGCTCTTTGCTGAGACTCGTGTGTCATTTGTCGCGCGGCTATATAAAAAGAAGCCAAGAGGCATGGGTCCCAGCATTCACATCGATTATTGTTAATGGAAATGCTGCATATCCTTTGAGCATGCCATAGCTGCGACAAAGATGGCGTCCGCCGTTGCTCAAGCTGCATGGTCCTTGGCTTATGTGCCAGCATTATCATCATGGCGGTATGGTATAGCTGATTGGCGAGAGTTGCCGTTCCATTGGTGAAATATATAAGTGGAAATGGAGCTCTTTCATCATTAATCTCAATGGCCGGATGAAATATCGGCGGCCTATTCGTATACCAGTCATTGAGTTCATTAACAATGGACTTCCAGCGAGCTGCTGGAGGCGTGGGGGGTTCAATATCGAAAGTAGTGGCCGCATATGGATCTCCAAAAGAGAACTCAAGCACTTCAGCGCATAGAGCAAGAGCCTCATGCGCGTAATATTCAGAGCATCCGACATTAGGTGCTCTGTGAGAAGAACTTTGAAGTAAGGATCTAAGGATGTTGCTGTTGACAATCGGGCTGGATTCTTTTACTAAAGCAGCGGCAGTACCTGACATGGTCAATACATATTCTTCTGCTCAGAACTAATAATCGATTTCTTACCTAGTCTGGCAAGCAGCCACACCATACATGCGTTCAAGTCATTTGATGAACTTCGTTCAAGAAAAGCCTCATGTAAAATATCATACTTGCTCAATGTATCTTTCCATGATCTAGGGGGGTCAGTGAGGAAATTCTTTGTAACCGCCAATATTGACCAAAGATTAACTTCCCACGGCTGGGAGTGCTCGATGAAGTTCTTTATTATATATGTGAAATCACTTGTACGAGGTTCCATTGGACTGTTACTAGAATCCGTATGGTCATGATGAATATTGTATGAAGCGCTGCAAAGCTCCAAGAGTGCATCAAATGACACCTCTGATCTCATTGCAAGATGCGGAACGACAAGACCAAACGTTTGCTTCATGTCACATATGTCCAACTTTGTTATACATGTTAGTTTACGTCCTCGAGCATTTAAGAGTAGGAAAATTCGTCTCACCCATGGAGCGATTTTATATCTGTAGTGCTTCAGTAGCTCAACTGACCGTCCTGTCGACAGCTGAAGTGCCACACGGTCGCTCACCGGGCCAATATTGCCAATGCTCTTCAAATTTGACAGCGGCGATAATACGTTACCTCCTTCAGAATCGCCTGTGTTTGGGCCAACATGAGCTGGTGTATAGGCCTCATGATCTCGAGCGCCAAGAGTCATCAGAACATCTAGCGCAATCTCGAAACCATCGCCCTGCCTCATCATATTCTGATCTTGGTGGCTATCTTCATGGCGGCAAAACGGCGTATCATGTGGTATTCGCGAATACAGAGATTTCGTGACAGTCGTATCATCTTTGCGGTATGTGTCATTAGACTCTGAGCAGAAAGTTGGCGGTTCGTGAATGCGAGTACTAGATGTAGTCGGTTCCAGGTCGCTTCTCAGAGGTGGAATGTCACATATAAATGTGTATTCTCCCTCGGAAGGAAGAGGAGAATGTATTAAAGCTTGAGCAGTTTTGCTAAGACCGGCATCTTTCGATGCAGCGAGTTCGCCGTCCACAAACTATTTCCATTGAATGAAGTCAGTGTTAATTTTAACAAGAACAGAAGAGATATTAACCTGAATTTTAGAATACTTTCTAACATCAATGTATTGCCCATCTAGAGGATCGACATTAGGAGCCGTAATAGTGTTCTTCTCTAGAAACGAAAGCCTCGGGCGATAATTGCACTCTGCGTCTGCATCGAGACAGCGTTGGCAGCGAGGTTTGCGTTCATCACCTACGTATTTTTCTAGTCAACCTTTTACCATTTCATAAAGTGTTTAGCAGGGAGAAATAGTAGTGGGGAAAACCTCTAGGAGGGATGTGCCCTGAACTCGAATTACGATACACTTCAACTTACATTTGCGTCGCCGAGTTCGGCATCTCAAACAGCCTGTTCGCGCTCGCTTCTTTCGGGCACTCTGCGGACTAACTATTTCTTGACTTGCCATGTCCAACGTCGGAATCCGGTTATCAAGGTATTCCAGTGCTTCTCAAGATATTCCAGATAATGAATGCCACAGCGAGGGGCAAACATCTCCCGATAGATCGTAAAGTTCTAGGCCTAATAGCAAACAGCCCAATTGCTGCAGTGTCGCCACCCTCATTTATCCATTGTACCCATTTTGGTATATATAGGCACAGCTTCGGTTAATTGGCATCCTCGCTCTCGCCAATATCAGCGAGTATGGGGCATTTTCTGCGTAGGCTCAGCACTATCGAAAGCTATCTCTATGCTAATTGAGGGCCACTCGCATGCGGGGTATCTATCTCTGAGGCGCATTTCACAACTTTGATTGAGTGAAAGCAGAGCATGAGGCTTTAAAATATACGGGATGATAGAAGCAAAGAGAAGATGGGGGCTTTAGGTGCTTCAAGAACAGAATTTCTGGCACTTGAAACTGCCGAAATGCAACTTGAGTGTGTAATATACAGTCGTGGGGAGAGGGCAGCTATACGCAAGTAGATTGAC